AATCCGCCAAAAAAAATCAACAATAAAAGAAATATAAATATTGAAGCAAGTAATTATAATTTTATCACCGAAATAATAAATAAATAATTCCTTTATAACACGAGCGACTTCGACGAAAAAAACTGTTAGCGTTCAACTAAATCTGTCATTCAATCCATGGAACCTTTGCAATATTCAAAGCTAACATATTTTTAAAATATTACAAATTTTGAAATATGGAAAACAATTTTTAGTTATGAAAATATTTTAAAATCATAAGCTTCTTTACCGATGATATCTGGTAATGACAATAAATTGGATTTTAAAAACAGTTCGGTAATTTGCAAAAATGGCTAACTATTCAATTTTTAAAATCAGCGTCAACTTAATAATACAAAATTACTTATACAATAATTTACAATGTAAAGTAAAAAATTTGTCTGCTACAGAGATCGTGTTAATAAATTGGATTTTGGGATTACAGTTTGGTAATGTGCAAAAATGATTAACTATAGAATTATTAAGACTATCGTCAATTGAATAATACAAAATGAAATATACAATCTTTAACACTGAAAATTAAAACATTTCTCTGCTACAGAGATAGTGTTAATAAATTGAATTTTGCGATTACAGTCCAATAACTTGCCTGAATGGCTAACTATACAATTATTAAAAGTAGCATCAATTTAATAATACAAAATTAAATATATAATTATTAAAATCACTTGTTTGCTTAAATCGCAAGTTAACTAGGAATTTAAAAGCAAAAACAATACCACAAAAATTCACCATATCTTTATAAGAGAAAACGTTTCGGAGTCCAACTCCATCGTCAGTTTACAAAATTCAGTTCAGATATATATAATAATTAGCAATGTAAATTGAAACATTTCTCTGTTACAGAGATCGGCTACAATTATTAAAAATAGCATCAATTCAATAATAAAAAATGAAATGTACAATATTTAACACTGAAAATTGAAACATTTCTCTGTTACAGAGATCGGCTACAATTATTAAAAATAGCATCAATTTAATAATAAAAAATGAAATATACAATATTTAACACTGAAAATTGAAACATTTCTCTGTTACAGAGATCGGCTACAATTATTAAAAATAGCATCAATTTAATAATAAAAAATGAAATATACAATATTTAACACTGAAAATTAAAACATTTCTCTGTTACAGAGATCGTGTTAATAAATTGGATTTTGGGATTACAGTTTGGTAATTTGTAAAAATGACTACCTATAGAATTATNCCATCACTAACACATCCCTTATACGTCACTTATACATCACTAACACATCCCTTATACGTCACTTATCCATCACTAACACATCCCTTATACGTCACTTATACATCACTAACACATCCCTTATACGTCACTTATACCTCACTAACACATCCCTTAAACGTCACATATACATCACTAACACATCCATTAAACGTAACTTATACATCACAAATACATCACTTATACATAACTAACATAACCCTTATACGTTACTTATACATAGCCAACACATCACCCATACATCACTTATACATTATTTATTCATCACCCGTAGAAACGCAGCATCAGTTATCGGTTTCCATCGTTAATACATCAGTTATACATCACCCGTAAGAGAAGTACGTATCATCACTCTTAAGCCACTTTACATCACTTATACATCACTTATACATCACATGAATTAAATAAATAAAATATTGTAATTTGAAATGTCCGTGAAGAAAATCTCGCGATATCTTTTATCTGCAAAAGTTTTATCAACTGCGCCATTATTTAAAGCGAGAATATTATATATTATATATATTATCGATTATATTATACGTAAGCAATATTATATATTATACATAAGTGTGACACATATGGAGCTACGTGCAATTATTAATGATAAAAAACATAGCTCCATCTGTAGTTTAAACTTATTTTCTCTGAGTAATGTATAAGAATTTATAATGCAATCTTACAAGATGCTAGGCACATGTCGAAATTCAAAGTGTATGTGATGTCAGTGAAGGGGAAATTCAATGTGTATGTGATGTCAGTGAAGGGGAAATTCAATGTGTATGTGATGTCAGTGAAGAGAAATTTAATGTGTATGTGAGGGCGGAAATTTCTTTCTGAATTTCATCCTGGAATTCAGTACGAATATTGACACTGAAAATAAGATTATGTCAAGAAATTCTATAAAAATGCATCATCACCTTTTTTTATAAAAACAATACCATGTTTTTGATTTGAAATATTACTTACCTTTAATTACCTTCATTCTATTACATTATTAATTCATTCATTACATTATTATTACAATATAATTACCATTACATTGACAAATTTAATAAAGTAAAAAATGTTCAGTAATTAATTATTATAAATTTTATATTACATATACTCTCGAATAAATTTTATTGATCCACAAATAAATCATAAGGTTTTGGATAATTCACAAGAATTTCCAAGAATTAAGTACTTACATATTAATTTAATTAATTAGTCACCCCTAAATTATTACCAATAAAAATAATGCAAGACCTAATAAACTTAACTAATAAATTCAATAATAAACTATAATAATGAAATGAAATAATAAATGTAACATAAAAATATAATAATGAAAAATAATTTAACGAAATAAATAAATCTATAATTAAATAAATAAAGAAATAAATGAATAAATTTGTATATAAATAAGTGAATAAATAAATAAGTAAATTAAATAAATGTAATACAAATATTTAATATTGAAAAAAATTAACAAAGTAAATGAATATATAATTAAATGAATAAATAATAAAATAAATAAACAAATACGTAAATAAATAACCAGAAATAATCTCGTTATGGGCACAGATGAAGGCTTCATCACGACGCAGGTGCTAAAGGAGATCCTGAAGGAGCTGGACTAAATAGATAAATGAATAAATAGATAAATAATTAAATAAATAAATGTAATTAACTAAAAATAATTGCATTATGGGCACAGGGGAAGGCTTCATCACGACGCAGGTGCTGAAGGAGATCCTGAAGGAGCTGGACCCGAAGTTGACCAAGGATGACCTGGAGAACATCATAGAGGAGGTGGATGCTGGGACAGTCAGTGGGACGTGGCTGGGACGGTCAGTGGGACGTGGCTGGGACGGTCAGTGGGACGTAGCTGGGACGGTCATCACTCATCACATCACAATACTATGCATATATATTTATATGCTGCTTATAATCAAATAACTACCAAATATAATTATTTTAAATTCCTACGTATATACGTACGTATACCTACGTACGTATACGTATACCTAACTTATTGTGCCGCACTTTTGTCTCGGCACATTGTACGTAAGTTCAAGTCTTTATTCAAGTCAAATTTGAGGTTAAATGTTTTTTTCTTAAATGTATTTCGGTGTTATTGTAGAAAATGTGAACTGAGAGTCCACTTCCGGGTTCAAGTTCCGGAAAAGTTCCGATTGGAGCAGCGAGTTGTGGGTTCGAAACCCTCAAATGGGTGCATAAGTTATTGTCAAAATCAGTGAGGTTTAATCGATTTTGACCAGAATGAGGCGTTGAGGTTTTTGATTTGAAGTTTTTAATCAAAATCGTTTAATAATCAGCGACATGCCAAAAGGGACCAAGGAAAGCTAGCTCCCTTATTTTATATTATTAAATTCAATTTAAATATTTAAAATTTATGTAAGATGTTTAATATTCATTTTCTTCTCCCCACAGAGTTCATGGAAATGATGAAAGGATGAACATTCTTACTATCAAAACTCAACAGGGATATTAATGTTCGCAAATTTTATAATTAATAAAATAATTTCGAATCAACAAAGTCAACAATTGACAATCGGATCTTTAAAAGCAAGTTTTCATCTACATCCTGCATTTTTTCCAGTAAACTGATTCGATTCAAAGTATTTTTTATCCCTATTTTTGTCAGCCATTCAGTCTTATTTCTAATTCTGTAAATAAATAATTAAATAGTTTAATGATTCATCAATAATTAGGCTCAACCGAAAACTAATTTTTCGTGGAGACTCAATTAAATCATAAAAGTTTTGTCTCCAAGTTTACTTAGCTGTTACTTAATCAGAATAAATCCAATTTTCCGCCAATCGCATTGAGCTTCCCGGATTTTTTGCGCGATATATTTTTTAGGGGAACGATGACTCAAAAAAAATATCTTTAATTGAACAAAGAAAATATTTGACATTTTAAAGGACTTTTCTCCAGTAATGCTAAGCCAGCATCATGAATATTCTCGTTTTATAAGCAAATAAATAAATTTGTTATCAATTTATCAACGCTGGCAGAGTTCGGGGTAAGAAATGCGCATATTTGGGGTAAGAAATTCGGCAAAAACGCAGGGATATCTAATTCAAATTTTCAGGGACAAATAAACAATTTGATTACGAAATTCAATTATATTAAATTCACTTTCTGTCCTTTTCACATGCCTTTCTGCTAGGTCATACTAGGTCAGGTTGACCCAGACAACTCCAAAAATGTTATCACTATTTATTACAAAGTCTCACTTATTTCCCTGAGAGTGTCCAGGTTAACAGAGGGTAGAAAATAAAGGCAAGAGAGGCTGGATAAGTGAGGGAGATAAGTGAAAGAGATAAGTGAGTGAGATAAGTGAAGGAGATAAGTGAGGGAGATAAGTGAGGGAGATAAGTGAGGGAGATAAGTGAGGGAGATAAGTGAAGGAGATAAGTGAGGGAGATAAGTGAGTGAGATAAGTGAGGAAGATAAATGAGATAGATAAGTGAGGGAGATAAGTGAGGGAGATAAGTGAGGAAGATAAATGAGATAGATAAGTGAGGGAGATACCTGAGATAGATAAGCGAGGGAGATAAATGTGATAGATAAGTGAGGGAGATAACTGAGGGAGACAACTGAGTGAGATAACTGAGGGAGATAAGTGAATGAGATAAGTGAGGAAGATAAGTGAGATAAGTGAGTGAGATAAATGAGATAAGTGAGATAAGTGAGATAAGTGAGATAAGTGAGATAAGATAAGTGAGTGAGATAAGTGAAGCATATCACAGTTCATCAGGCAGCCCAGCAAGCCCCCGTCGCGCCCTGGCCCTGGTGGCGCGCAGGAGGCGGCGGTGGCGGTGCAGCTCCGCGACGCTCAGGCGGCCGTTGCCATCGTCGTCCGCGTGCGCGATGATGTGCGCAACTATGCGCTGCGCCGCGCGGCTATGCGCAAAAATTATAAATTATTTACAATTTATTATGATAAATTATCTTAATTTATATAAAGTAACAATTGCGAGCGTGCAAATTAAATACAATTTTTATATTCATATAAAGTATAAATTGTGAGCTTTTATACGCGCGGCTATGCGCATAAATTATAAAATTATTTACAAATTAATATAATAGATTATTTAGATTAATACAATAAATTATTTGAATTTATATAAGACCGTTGCCGTCGTTGTCAGCGTGCGCGATGATGTGCGCAACTATGCGCTGTGCCGCGCGGCTATGCGCAAAAATTAATAAATTATTTAAATTTATACAATAAATTACTTAAATTTACACAATAAATTAGTTAAATTTATAGAATAAATTATTTAAATTTATATAATAAATTATTTAAATGTATATAAAGTAATAATTGCGGGCGTACAAATTGCAACTATACGCTGTGCCGCGCGGCTATGCGCACAAATTATAAAATTATTTACAATTTATACAATACATTATTTAAATTTATACAATAAATTACTTAAATTTATATAATTTATATATTAAATTTATATATATTTGCGCAAAAATTATATTATTATTTACAATTTAATATAATAAATTATTGAAATTTATATAAAATAATAATTGCGAGCTTACAAATTAAATAAAATTTTTATATTTATATAAAGTACAAATTGTGAGCTTGTATACGCGCGGCTATGCGCACAAATTAATAAATTATTTATATTTTAACATTTATAAAAAGAACAAATTGCGAGCTTCAATAGCAGAAGTGTTTTCTTCATGGCTGCACGGGAATTAAATTGTAAGATTATTTACAATTTGATATGATAAATTATTTTAATTTATATAAAGTAATACTTGCGAGTGAACAAAACAAATTAAATATAATTTTTAAATTTATATAAAGTACAAATTGCGAGCTTTTATAACAAAAAATTTTTTTCATGGCCGCAATGGAGAATGATATTTTGTTCATTATCATTTAAAACGAATAAAATTAAGTGCCAGGGGCCGTACAATCAGAAATACTTACAAGCTCGTAACTTGCGTTTGTCATGAGCATTTATTAAAATATTTATTCTAGGTATTTATTATTATTATTATTATTTAAGTATTTATTCAATGTATTAGAGTATTAATTACTAAATAAATCAGCATTACTTACCTGTGTCCTGCCGACGCCCACAATCTGATGGCACCGAGCGGTAGATTGAATAACGGTTCAGGAGCAACTTCTACAGTCGGGAGATCTGGCAACGAATATTGTGGTGGAAATCTGGCAACAAATATTGTGGTGGAAATCTGGCAACAACTATTGTGGGGGAGATCTGGCAACAAATATTGTGGCGGAAATCTGGCAACAAATATTTTGGCAACGAATATTGTGAAGGAGATCTGGCAACGAATATTGTGCTGGAGATCTGGCAACGAATATTGTGAAGGAGATCTGGCAACGAATATTGTGGTGGAGATCTGGCAACGAATATTGTGAAGGAGATCTGGCAACGAATATTGTGAAGGAGATCTGGCAACGAATATTGTGGTGGAGATCTGGCAACGAATATTGTGGTGGAGATCTGGCAACGAATATTGTCTGGAGATCTGGCAACGAATGTTATAATGGAGATCTGGCAACAAATATCGTGGTGGAGATCTGACAACGAATATTGTGGGGGATATCTGGCAACGAATATTGTGGGGGAGATCTGGCTACGAATATTGTGGGGGATATCTGGCAACAAATATTGTGGGGATATCTGGCAAAAAATATTGTGTGGGGATATCTGGCAACAAATATTGTCTGGGATATCTGGCAACAAATATTGTGGGGGATATCTGGCAACAAATATCGTGGGGGATATCTGGCAACGATTATTGTGGTGGAGATCTGGCAACGAATATTGTGGAGGAGATCTGGCAACAAATACTGTGGGAGAGATCTGGCGACGAATATTGCGGTGGAGATCTGGCAACGAATATTATGGTGGATGTCTGGCAACGAATATTGTGATGGAGATATGGCAACGAATATTGTGGTGGAGATCTGGCAACGGATGTTGTGGTGGAGATCTAGCAACGGATGTTGTGGTAGAGATCTGGCAACGAATATTGTGGTGGAGATCTGGCAACGAATATTGTGGTGGAGATCTGGCAACGAATATTGTGCTGGAGATCTGGCAACGATTATTGTGGGGGATATATGGCAACGAATATTGTGGTGGAGAGCTGGCAACGAATATTGTGGGGGATATATGGCAACGAATAATATTATGGAGATTTGAGAACGAATATTGTGTTGGAGATCTGGCAACGAATAATATTATGGAGATCTGGCAGCAAATATTGTGGTGATCTGGCAACGGATGTTGTGGTAGAGATCTGGCAACGAATATTGTGGTGGAGATCTGGGGCAACGAATACTGTGGTAGAGATCAAACACAACAAAATACCGTTGCCTAAACATTTAAAGGGATCAAGAACATGAAACAACATTATAAAATATATTGAGACACTTTATAAAATATCTATGCCTATCTAAGATGTGTGCACCATAGTTCATAAAAATATAGCTCAGTACTCACTGCAATGAGTGAAAACGAGCGCATTTTCTCGTCGATGAAAACTTGAGGTCACGGACGGACGGACAGACAGACAGACGGACATGGCGAGCACAATAGTGCATTTTTTCTAAAAATGAGAAAATGCGCTAAAAATGAATGCATTTACGTATACAAATGTTAAGTTATCAGTTTTAAATGGTCACCTGCAAATTGCGGAAGAGCGTCCAAGGACATACGGAAAATGAGCGGCAGGAATGCGTCGAAATCGTGATCGAAACTGCAATACGTAACACGCTATCAAACATTACAATAATTATCAATTAGTTATACATAGTCTGAATAATTAAATTAAATTTATTAATCTTACATTCAATGCCTAACAACTGTTTTATTTGGTCTGATTTAGGTTATGGCTGTTAAATACATAATTAAAATTAAAATTTTCGAAGAATCTATTGGCCTTTTACTTGTGATTATTTTGATCATACAAAATGCCGTGCTACATAGTTAGTTATATGAATTACTTAATTACTGAACGTTTATGAAAATTGAACCAAAAAAATCCCTTTGAATTCTGAACACTGATTTGTTGGCTGATTTGCTGTCGATCACAATCTTCAACAAATGATCTTACTATCTTATTTGATCAAAATAATGTATTACTTTCATATATCATGAAAATATTCTATTAATTTCGGTATATTTAAAAAAACATCACATTAACATAATACTGACAGATGAAGCTTCTTCTTCATTGAAGTCAATACTCATCTTTTGTATGTGGCTATTGTATTGAAATATTCACTGTGAATGAATACGTTGTTCGCACTTCATCCATGAACATTTTACTCGCACTTCATCCATGAACATTTTACTCGCACTTCATCCATGAACATTTTACTCGCACTTCATCCATGAATATTTTATCGAAATTATCAGAAATTCACATGTATTCACTTGACTCACGGGTCCGATGAGTAGCCCAAGTCTTTTGTAGCGTCGCTCTGCCCCTGAAAACGAATTTAATCAAATGAATTCCATGAATAGATTTATTAACTTTCTTGAATGAATTAATATTACGTTATTTAAGCGTTATTTTATAAATAAATCAGCAAAATTCCCTTCCAGAACTTTTTTTCAAAATTTTATACAAGACTTTTGAAGAATGGATTTAAAATTAATGACCGGGTTAGACAGATTCATCTTATTCCTACATTTATTTCTGCTAATTCCCTTCTTTAGATAACTAAATAAATATTCTTAATTAAATAACATAATAATAAGGTAATATTACCTCGGTGGGCGGCGGTGCGCGTTGCGCTGCCGCGTCTGGGTCCCTGTAACAGAAGAGACACTAATTATTGATAAATATTAATAAATATTGGTAAATATTGATAAATATTGATAAATATTGATAAATATTGATAAATATTGACAAATATTGATATATATTGATAAATATTGAGAAATATTGAGAAATATTGATAAATATTGACAAATATAGATAAATATTGACAAATATTGATAAATATTGATAAATATTGATAAATCTTGACAAATATTGATATATATTGATAAATATTGGTAAATATTGATAAATATTGATAAATATTGATAAATATTGGTAAATATTGATAAATATTGATAAATATTGATAAATATTGATAAATATTGATAAATTGATAAATATTGATAAATATTGATAAATATTGATGAATATTGATCAACATTGATAAATATTGATAAATATTGATAAATATTGATTAAATATTGATAAATATTGATAAATATTGATAAATATTGATAAATATTGATAAATATTGATAAAAATTGATAAATATTGATAAAAATTGATAAATATTGATAATTGCTCATAAAGTTTAAATAGTGATGGGTTTATAACAGGAGTTTGATGTACACTCAGACTAATGCAGAGGTCACATTGACCAAATAGTGACACGCATTCTTAAGCATGAGCACAGAGCGAACGTAGCACTGATATGCACTTTAGCTGGGCCAAACTGTGTCAGGATGACCCACATAAGGGTAATAAGTGCATCGATATTTGGACAAAGTGTTCATAGAGAATGCAACCATTAATTTTAATTGATATATTAATTCAATTATTACAATTTCTGCAATTGATTAATAAATAATTAATAACAAATAATTAATGCATGATATTGCTACTAATACCGATAAAAATGATAACAATATTAATATTTATAATAATAATAGTAATAACAATAACAGTAATAATAATAATACTAATATCAATAATAATAATAACAATAATAACAATAATAATAATAATAATAACAATAATAATAATAATAACAATAATAATAATATCAATAATAATAACAATAATAATAATAATATCAATAATATTAACAATAATAATAATAACACTAAAAGCCTCTCCATTCACAAACATCACCTGAATGCCTCCAGCATCCAGGCATGGAGTTCCTCCATGTCCACCTCCATGTCTCCATTTTTATCCATTTCCTGCACCAGGCGCAGCAGCGCTGCCTCCACCGCAGCTGAGGGCACCTCGTCTGACGTGGAAATTAAAATTTCATTTATATTTTTTATTTTAAAATTGAAACACATAAAAAAACGAATTTCTTGGACGCTAGAAATACCAGCATTAAAATTTTATTTTTATTTTTTTACTTTAAAATTGAAAGACATAAAAAATGTAACTCAGTACTCACTGCAGTGAGTGACAGAGAGCGCATTTTCTCGTCGACGAAAACGTGAAGTCACGGACAGACGGACAGACAGACGGACAGACGGACGGACGGACGGACATGACGAGCACACTACACTTAAAAAAATAAATGGGCAATATTATCCGAATAGTGGCACTATTAACCCACAGCACCTGAGTAGAGAGCTGCGGCGTGGTGCTGATACGCCCAGGCTAAACTGGGTCAAACTGACCCACACCAAGGAAAAAAACTGCCTCGATATTTGGACATAATCTCAGTTATTTCTCTCAGTGTACGATGACGGTTTTGAGACTTGAAAAAATTTTCTATATTAATTTCTTTTAAAGACGCATTAAAATACGAAAGGTTATGCAGCAAAATTCACCTCCGCTAAATCAGTAGTGATAAGCCATTTAATGTAATATTAAGGCTTCGACTAGCTCCTATTATAACTAACACGATTTTAACATTTTACCATAATGATATCAAAGCCGATATTAAAATTAGTGTTTAATAATGATGTTAATGAATACACCAGTAGCATTAAATAACATTCTCCTCCTCAAACGTAATAGTAATGCTATAATTAGTTTCGGAACTTCTGCAAGCTTTAATCATTCTAAACATAATGGCTAACATTTCATACATAATAGTATAGTATAGTATAGTATAGTATAGTATAGTATAGTATAGTATAGTATAGTATAGTATAGTATAGTATAGTATAGTATAGTATAGTATAGTATAGTATCTTCGGCATTAAAGAATAGGCCTGGATAGGCCTGTCGCCGATTCTTATACTTTTCTTGACTAGACTGGCCTTTTGATCAAATCTTTTCAACTGATGGTAGATTTAAAATCGCTTCTGAGTTATTTAATGAGTTAATGAATGTAAAGTATTATATATTTATTAAGACCATTAAAAAAAACTAGCACCCACCAAGATGGCTGTACAGGGTCGACAAGCGTCGGTATTGCTGCGCCGTCAGACCCGCGGGGGAGCCCACGCTGGTGTGGGCTACCCACAACATCGTTAACAAACTCACGCACAAACTCATTTTGCTCGCAAATATGGAATAAATAGAACGAAATTGTTAATATTTTCACCGGAACAAGAAATTGGAATGAAGAAAGTTAGTTATGATTGATAGCGCTAGCGTTACTTCTGAATGATGGCACTATCATTGCATATGAATGATGGCACAATCATTGCATATGAATGATGGCACTATCATTACATATGAATGCTGGCACTATCATTACTTATGAATGCTGGCACTATCATTACATATGAATGCTGGCACTATCATTGCATATGAATGATGGCACTATCATTACATATGAATGCTGGCACTATCATTACATATGAATGCTGGCACTGTCATTACATATGAATGATGGCACAATCATTACATATGAATGATGGCACTATCATTACATATGAATGATGGCACTATCGTTACATATGAATGATGGCACTATCATTACATGTGAATGATGGCACTATCATTACATATGAATAATGGCACTATCGTTACTTTTTAATGATGGTGCAATCGTTGCTTATGAATTCGTAATTTTCGTGCTAACTAACGCAATCACACAAATAATGAAGAACAATTTGTGATAAAATAAAATGAAAGTGATGATGAAATTCGGTCGATCAAAAAAATAACTACTTTAATTATATGAATAAAATAAATAATATAATATCGAACACACGAAACTTGAAGAAAATAGTTGTAAAATATTCTAGTATTCGTGCAGCAATCCACGTGACTTCACCAGACACCACACAGAGATGCACTGTATCGTCATCACCACCACCTGCATCACTCGACAGGCTACAAGACATCATTAATAATCATGGTGACTGTTTAAACTTAACCTTATTTACTTAGTTGATGATAGTTGATATTATTTCAGGAGTTACGAGTTGAGAATATATGCTTGTATTCGGTCTCAAAATAAGCATATTTATGGTTGTTGAATTAAAGGTCGAAGTTTTAAATCATTACAATAATGCGGTATAATAAAAGTTAAAAATATGATAATAAATGTATGAGAACAGCATGGCCGGCACGAATGCTGATGATGTTGCACTGCACCTGTGCATACGGAGCACAGCTGCTGGATTCTCGGCTATCGGTCAGCTCAAACTTTAGTTTCGACGGGGCGCAGCCGTGGGTAACAAAATTGACTCGTAAACAGGCCCTGGGTCCAACGCCAATCATCAGCATGCAATATCTACACATAGCCTCAGATCAATGAGCTGTGGGTAACTCCGGCTAACAGTAAATCCGCTTTGCACAACACAGCCACTGCTTCACAGAGCTGGAGTACAACTGGCCGGAGCGCAACAGGCCCTACCGCAAGAGGCGGCGCAGGTTAGGTTAGGTTACGTTAGGAGTAGCTGTTTCGGTATGGCCTGTTGCGCTCCGGCCAGTTGTGCTCCGGCCTGTATGCGCTGCGGCCTGTGACTGAACGGCGTTGTTGTGGTGGGCGCTTTGTGTCAAAAGCCGTGAAGATGCCCGGCTGCGTTACGCTGCTAATACTTTAGCTTCGAGTTCAACTCTCACTTCCGTTCTGACTTCGGCTTCAACTTCAGCTCACACTTCAGCTTTGAGTTCAGTCTTAACTTTAGCTTCGCATTCAGCTCAACACAATTATCTTCTTATGAGTAATCAAAATTATTCAACATGATACATAAAAACCGATTTTCTTTTACGTTCGCTATAATTACGTATAGTGGGGAAGGGTATTATATTAGTATTATAACAGTTTCAGCGCTAAATGGGCCGTTAAACCTGTCACCAATTTTGGACATCGCAGAACACTCACAGTTTAATGCGGGTCTCGAACACGCAATTCACGTTTTCAATTTTTTTGGGCCTAACCGCCCGGTCCCCTTGCCGATTTGACAAGAGCTATCACAGGAAGCTGGGATCAAAGGCACAGCGCACTTCTCCAATCCTAGTACTTTGGACTGTTACCACTGGTCCACTCTGCAGCACCTTTGTACTGGCCACAGCCCTGCTCTCCGCCGGGTCTGACTTCCTAGTGGTTCGACGGCTTAGTGGTAAAAGGGTGCTCAGCCGTAGGCCAAAAAATCATCTCTTAAAAAGAACATGGAGACACCGTAAAACCAAATTATGCGCTAAGCGTCTTTTCGCCTTCTACTATCGTTTCCGTTTCCACTTTTTCTTTCTGACCACCCTGAGCCACCTCTTGATTTTTTCCCACATTTCCTTGTGGCACCGCCACCACCACCACGCCCCGTAACCAAAGCTCCTTCTAAGCATGCACAGCTAAACTCAGCCTCAGAGCTACAAAGACGCAGACCCGCAAGAATCGTCTGGTTCCACAACAGTGGGCCTATACTTTCAAAAAAAGGTAAGAGATCGTAAGTTCATCTGCCAATCATTGACGGCCTTTCAAGCAAAATCCACCAATCATAGACAAGAAAATAGAGCGTAAGTACAGGGTGCGGCGCGGGAACTTACTTATTTGAATTGCGCGCCACGTGGCGGCCATTAGTCCTAGGAAGGTGGCTAAAGAATTAAAACGCTATCTTTAATACTTTTTACTTTGTGATTTTTTTAAAAGAGTAAGTTCCCACGCCGCACCCTGTACTTACGTTCATTTAGCGAGTTCTGAAAGTATGGCCCCAGTTCCGTAGCGGCCATGCTGCCGTAAGTCCATAACCACTTATAGTTCTACAGTTTATTTAATCTTCATGGATGCGTAACCCCAGCATGGCCCTACCTCCACTCTTACCTCACCTCTCCATCCTGCTACAGCAAGTGACCTCCTTCACTTTCTCTCCTGTCTCGCATCTCCATCTAGATGCAGGTAAGCTAATAAGGTAAGGTTAGGTCCGTAAAAGTTTGTTTGGGTTAAGAGTCGGGGCCTATACTTTCAAAACTCGCTAAGTGAACGTAAGTACTTACGCTCTATTTTCTTGTCTTTGATTGGTGGATTTTACTTGCAAGGCCGTCAATGATTAGGTGATGAACTTACGATCTCTTAACTTTTTTTGAAAGTATGGGCCCTGTCTCGCATCTCCATCTAGATGCAGGTAAGTCAATAAGGTTAGGTTATGTCCGTAAAAGTTTGTTTAGGTAAAGAGCCGGGACTGGATTTGGGGCGTGGTGACTCTGAGAAGGACATTCCGGAGTCAGTTTATAACGGCCATCGGCCACGCAACACATGTTCATTTTGTTATTAGGAGAGAAGAGGGAAACCATGCCAGGTAGAAGCAACATTTAAGCAGAGACCAGGGGTGTGTGAAAGTTTGTGTTAAGGGTGAGATGAAAACAAGGGAAAGAGAAATTCATCTGATAATTTTTTCGGTTTACTATTGCTATCTCATTTGCAGAGCTGGGCAGCGCTACTTTGAAATGTAGCGGCCGCTACCGCTACCGCTACATGCTCTAATTGTAGCGGGCACTACCGCTACCGCTACACCCACTAGATTGTAGCGAGCGCTACCGCTACAGTAAAATGTAGCGCCGCTACATTAGCCTCTACAATGGCCAAAATTATTGGAAATCTCTAAATATTTATTCTTCTGCTATTGGGATTTACTATTAAACATTTAAGGATAATAAAACATTTTCAAAACATATCAATGCAACTTTATTGCAATTAACCTAACCGAAATAGTACGGGTTAGATGCGTACAGTAAATAAAAGTTACAGTTCATTTTATGTTTTACCGTTCTCTACATGGATGTCTACTTTAATCTACCAATCTTAAAAATTATCCACATATACCTACATATAAAGAATCAGTCTTTTATTTGTATATATATGTGGGTTACTTTTGAGATTGGTAGATTAAAGTAGACATCCATGTAGGGAAGGTGAAACATAAGAATAACTGTGTAAAAATAACTGTATGCAAACTGAAACATGAAAAAATACCTGTAAGTTGTAACTGATAACAACTTAACAAGTAACAACTAACATGTTGACACTAGTAACAGGCTGATGGTTGATAACATTACACCGAAATCTTTCGTACAGTTTTATTCTGTAATTTATGTTATGTATGTATCATGCTGGTTTTTAAATAATATTTAATACTCTTAAGTAAAATCTAACGGCTTTATCTATAAATGTAGCGGTAGCGCTGTAGCGGCAAAACCTCGTATCGCTACTTAAATATGTAGCGGGCGCTACCGCTACTTCTACATTGCCTTAAATGTAACGCCGCTACCGCTACCGCTACTGAAAATGTAGCGGCCGCTACATGCAGCGCGCTACTGCCCACCTCTTGTCATGGCAACAGTCACCCCTACTGACAGACAGACTATCATTGCAATCCATTGGTCTCCAGTTCGCTCATACATCACACCATCACCCTCACCCCTCTCATCCACTATCACTTTCGTCATTTCCAGTTTCTCCCTCTCATATGCAACACACTCCATCATCAGATGCTCCACAATTTCACTCTCCCATCTGCCACACATAAAACAAATATCCTCTTTTTTTCATTCCACCTGTATATCCATACATTCACACTCGAAACTTTTGCTCTCACATAGAACATTAGGTTCCCACCTTTAAAATGCCATCTTAAATGCACTCATACTATAAATGTTTCCCAATTTTTATTGACAGTGATAAGATGACTCGAGACTTTTATCAGGTTTATTGATGGCGAGTTTCTGTACATGAAGACAAGACAATGTTGTACGACGAGATAAAAAGGTTAACGTGATCTTCACCAATATGATGCAAGAAGATAACATACGAAAGAAAGACATCAGGCGAAATGAGCTCACCTAATCATAGGAGGAACTGGGGGTAAATTTCGAATAACAACTTAGCGAAACGAATAGCGAATTCCAAGGTTGCGTATTGCCGTGGGTCTATAAACGTTCTATCTACTGAATGATATTGGCTCCACACTGCACCTACTATTACAGCATTAAGGGATGGAATCAGTTGAGCACGATAAGCCTCAGTACATAATTTGGCATCTCTTTTATCTTGTACAATATCAGGCTGTCCTTTCTTTCCATTCCTTGCTTCCATACTCTTAAACCACATCATTTCATTCTCTTTTCTATTTCTTTCTTCCATTCTTTGACATCCCATTCGATCCCTGTTACATACTGTACTGTTATCATCCATTCCTCTCTTGGTCTATTATTCCCAGTGCGCGCATATGTTTCATGTAACTCACACTTCCGTACTACACCGCACGCGAGTTCGCTGAAGTGTCGAATCGGTGTTCGCACGCGAGTTCGCTGAAGTGTCGGACCGGTCCGTACTACAGTATTGCGTGACACTGACGTTCCCATTTGCTCACTCTCAGTTCAACAGGTACATCTCACGCGCCCGGCGTCCATCATACATTCTTACCAGTCGCACTTTATATCTCAACGCTGTTTTCATTCTTCTCTCTCTAAACGTACTCTATCCCATATATCCTCTTAAAGCCTCCACCGCAGTCCATCTTGGGGCCCCAAGAGCCAGTCTAGCTATCCTATTCTGCACATGCACCTCCAATTTATCCAATTGCCCATCATTCCGCGCAATGTAGTCCATTCCAATTTCCATACAGGCCTGTGATCCGATTCTGTCGCCGATTCTTGTACTCTAAAAAATCGTGTCATTTGACTGGATCTTTTCAGGACTGGCGATAGTTTGGAATAGCTACTAAACTTCCACCGGGTTCGATATGGTGCTAGGCATTTCCAGTTTGAACATATATTTTTCCAGAGCTTTATTTAGTCTGTTCTTTAATGCGTTCATACTTGGAGCGCCAATGATGTAATTGAGGAGGCTGTTAAAACCTGTTCCGCATGTCGGTGATTCGAAGCGAGGTGATTCGAATTCTTGTCGGTCGAACACCCCTCAAAGGCCCTCATGCCACCCAGTCAGTCTCCATATCTCCAAGCCTATATTTAGCTCGAGTATTTACATACATACTTTTAACTATCCACCCATACTTTTCACTCATACCAATTTTTTCCATCTTCTGACACAATAATTTTGCATCGACCCTATCATTTGCTTTTCCTACGTATATCTATGAACGAAGAACGATAAGTAGACTCTCCTTCCATCTCTCTTCATTCTTTCAATCCATTCATTCACAACAAATATGTTATCTTCTGCTCTCCTGTTACACCTGAAGGCTGAAACCATTCTGATCTTCAGCAAATACTCTTTCACTCTCCAAACATTTTTGCATTCATTCAATCAAAACTGCACAGAAAATCTTGCTAAAGGTATCAGCAGGAGCAATAATTGGCCTGTAGTTTCAGCCCTTTTCTTGCTCTTGTGGCATCCCCTATGCAAGAAGGTTATCCGGCTTTCATTCCATGCATCAGGTACCTACATATTCACTTGTCCAAAGTCCAAACAACATTGAATAGACCGGTCAATCTGCCATGTGCTCTCCCACCTCCATTCACCATCCATACTTGATACTTATACATCTTATATGGTATCTCTTCCATTTCAGCTGCCTTCAGTGCCCAGCTAGTATGGAATATATCTACTTGGCGAGTCGCGACTGAATTTTTCGAGCCGTGGTTTTATGGATTTGCCAGCCGTGATTCCATTTCTACTTTTTTTAATCAAACAAAAATTTATGACATTCGAGCCGCGAGATTTCATACCTACTGAAATTATATGATATTAGAGCCGCGATATTTAAGACAAAAATAGGACTTTTCCAGACTAGGTGCCCAGTGGTACTAACTCCCGTTTCACATCCCATTTGTAATTACTGTTTCAATAAAACTTAGGTCATTCATTCCCAGAATTCCATCACAGCTTCAGCCATTTCTGTTCTCTCAGTCACATACACTCCTTCTACATTCAGCCCATCCACTCTCGGATCCTTTTCCCTATTGTCACCTCTTTCCAAGGCATACCATTCGCGTCCAACTCTCTGTCACTTCATTATAAATTCGTTCATCCTATTTTGCTCATACTGAACAATATGGTTCCTAATAGTAGTTTTGGTTCTTCTCTGTTGTTCTTAATACCTCTGTCATGTTTCCTGATATTCCTGCACACATTCCTCACTCTCGTACCTCTTTTTCCACAGTTGCCTGCAGATTCGATTACATCTTTTTCGTTCAATCCTTGCCACTTTCACATCATTTCTCCACAATTTTTTATTCTTTCTTCGGTTTTTGCATACATTCTTATTGGTCCTTGCACATGTGGCCTGGCAGCCTCATTCATACAATTCTTGAGTTGTCCATTCAAAGCATTTACGTCATGTGTACTTTTCAATTCTATATCAGTAAGTTTCGCACTAAAATTATCCCAGTCCACACGTTCCACTCGCAATTTTCATTTTTTGTCAGGCTTTCTCACATGTGTAACGTGAATTTCCAACTCAATAAAAAGCATTTTATGATCACTTCTGATATCAAGCACACCAGCTTCATCCACCCAGATGCGAATCACTTCTCAAATCTTTTCTCATATATTCAGCACTCATTTTCATCAGCCTCTGGAACACTTTCTTACTTACCGCTTTTCTCATTTGCTCATACATTCCATCTTCCCTTGGACGCCACAGAATACCCATCACAGCCACTGCCAGTCTGCCAGTTGTATATAATTTGCCTCTCTGGTTGCTGTTGTAAAAGTAAATGAAATTGGGGGCCGCAGGCCCCCTGAGTTTTTACTCTGCGTCTTTCGCATACTATCGCTGTAGGTAGTCCCTACAACTTTATCTCATATAATCGATCGAGGCCTTGTGGGGTCAAAGTTTTAGCTCTCGCGCTCACAGCTCGGAAACGGCTGCTCCGATCTTGCTGAAACTTTCACCACTATAAGTCAAAAATGAATTTTAAAGCTGTTTTATTTAATGTCACTTTGCGAAAAAATGTCGCCTTCATGCTTTTTTTTTTGCCAAAAAACACTGCATTTTTTAGATTTTTTTAGCAAAAAATTCACTTTTTACTTAATTGCTCCTAAACGGCGTAATCTTTTTGACCAAACATCCTACACTCATTAAATCGGTGATGACAAAATTTTTGGTGTATGACTCATACAAATCCTATAGGTTTGAGCGTGAAAATGTTGTTCACAATCAACTGGGTGAAATTCACCTGATAAAAACCTTGTGGCTCCAAAGGTGGCATGGAAGGTTAGTGTCGCAGCTCTCCGAGTACCTTAATATATTCCACACTTGCCTGCAGGCATGAGTTATAAACGCACATATATCTTTGAATTCATTTCATACTATGCTGTGATCTATTACTTATTTAGCCCTTGAAGATTACCTAAAGGCATGAATTGACTTTGAGATTTCTTCAAAAGAATTTAGCTGAATCAGGTGGTTAAAGCACACAAGAAAATTCTTTTATTGTAGGTACAGTTCTATGATGACTGACTATAATAGTCATGGATCCTATCATAGTATGAAATGAATAAAAATATTTATGTGTGTAGATATTCAATGCCTGCAGTCAGGCATGGAATATATTTACTTGGTGAGCTTCAACTAGAGCCTCCTTGCCACTTTTGGAGCTTCAAAATTTGCACTAGGTGAAATATCTCCTAGTGTAATGAAAAAATTAATTTGAGAAATTGTCACGCAGTTTGTCACATTTATGGAATTGTGCTGTTTGTGACAAATTGCATAATCTGAGGTTCTGAGGTGTGCTTTTCTGGTTGCTAAATTTAAAAGGGTAGTTATTTTTTTAACCATATCCATGCAATAACTGCTTTGTGGTCTTTATCTTTATAAATAGAACAGGTTGATTGAAAATGCCTCCAAAGAAAAAGAAACAAACACTCAGATGTAGCATATGTAATATCCTTGGACATACCACAGCAGAGTGCGATGACACTTCATACCCTGTCGTGGGAAGCCCAGAGTCCACACTTGCAACGTTGTCAACTGCACATATCCCTGAGGTATTTCCTTATTATATGTACCATTGTGTATCTTTCTTTCAAAATTGGAATACTTGTTTTATTTGTCCTTTGTTTAGAACAGAAATTTTGTTTGAAATTTGACTCTTAACCTTTTTTATTCAATTGTAACAAATCATTTGTGGTTGACAGAGCCTGTCGGGAGATGATGCAACATTATTTATGTGAGAAAGTTTGAATGGCATGTCTTAGTTCCAGAGTCAAGGAATTGGAATTTTTGGTGAAAGATTTGGGCACAGATCACAGAAAATAATTTAATCTAGCTGCACGCGCAGTGCAGTGTATATATATATTATGTAATTTCATCTGAACCAGAAAATTAATCTAAATAATGAACTGCATCATTAACTTGACAGAAAATTAATCTGTCAGAAAATTAATCTGTCAGAAAATTAATCTAAACTAAGGTCTGAATTTTTGATGACAGACAGACAGACACGAAACGAAGCTAAGAAAAATGTGGTAACAAAGTGACGCTGATATTTGTATTTATTCCTACTGAGGAGTCTGGCTATTAATTAGATATTTTTTAGATTTCATGCAGATGCATTCAGAACTGAGGGAAAACTCATCCCGAATAGGAAAAAGTATCAAATGCAGCCTTATGCAGGAGATCCTTATTGTGATACTTTTATGTAAATTCTTTTAGGAGATACTTTAGTGTAATGTGTTTGCTGTTGTAATTCTATATCCTAAATGCATTCAGTCTTGTAAATGCAATCTATGTCGTAAATACTATCCATGGCATATATGCCTTCAGTATCATAAATGCGTTCTATATAACAACTGGTCAACCCACAAAAACACTTGAAAAACTTTTATGGATGAAAAAGTCCTTTGTCGGTCAGTTCTTTTCTTTTGTGGGAAAAATGTTGAATTACAGATTGTGAGATGTGCTTTATATTCTAGCAATGTTCACGTTATGGGTGCCTTATGCTCCCTCTGCAAATCTCTATTATTTTGATTAATTGGAGTAAAAACATTTCCTCTTATAGGCGAAGACTTCTAACGAGATGACGGCAACTGTCCCTGATATTAACTCAGCCATTACAATGAAGAGGCTCTGCTCAGAAGAGTGCAGTCCTGTTGAGGATGTAGCAGACCCTGAGACTGCAACTTCTCAGTCAACAACTGCTGAGGTGTTTGAGGTATTTACATTTCATAAAATGCCTCCTAGCATGTCTATTTTCCATGATAATGGCCATATTTTATCACCATTTTATTACAACACTTCTCTTTAACTTCACTTCTTGTTGTTTGTTTGTCTGTCTGCTACAAATCTTATAATCAATATTTAACACACTTCTACCTTTCCCATCAATCTGAAATTTTACACACTTGCGTAAAGTTGGAGACAATGCATGAATCAATTGACAGAATAAATAATTTTAAAAATTATAATTTTGTAATATTTGGTAATAAAATTAGAAATTCATTGTATGTGTGTAACATCAGAGACACTGTATTCTTGAGATGTGTTGTCTTTAAAAAGTAATTTTTAAAAGCATATTATTTCCAATAGTAGGCACGTTTTGCAGATGTTACATTTCACCTAATATCATACTTATATTTGCACAATTTTGTACGAGTAATAGTAATTCTTTGTGTTTCAACAAGGAAATTGGTAACATATACAAATCTGTTCAGAAAATATGTAATACCCTTTATGTTAGTACCACATGATGAATATAGCCGTATATAACAAGCTAGCTATTATATCATCCCAATTGTTTGAATAATCTCAGCATATTTCACAGGGCCCCCTGCAGAAAAGAATTAAAAGAGAGCCTCCAAATTCTGCATATGTTGATGCTCCAGTGCCGGCAGTGAGTTTTATAGATGAAAAAAAAATATATATTTTTTTTAGTTTCATCGAAAGTATTCTTTGTTAAGTTTACATTTTATGTTTACCCTCGGGGACCTAATTTCTTGATTGGTTTTTTTCATAAGTTCCCTCTACATTTATTGCTGAATTTCAGTAAATTGCAATCATGACTTTACTAATTACTGATTTATCTGTGTTCTAGAATTTTCGAACTGACGATGGAGCTGGACTCCGAAACGTTTTCTTTAAAGATACTATGAATTTTTGTGGAGTTTTCTTTGCTTTTAAGTTTTTAATATCCTTTGATATTACAGACACTTTCAATGGAAGACTGCACGACTGAGCACAGCTCGATGCCCCACAGCCCAGCAGATCCTTATGCTGCCTGTCCGTCCTACGGAGAAGTTGACGTGGCATCGTCCCATGCTGATACGAGTCTATCCTTGACTAGTGTTGACCTGCTGTTGGTGAGTACTAAACTCGACCAGTGTAGATCTGCTGTTGGTGAGTACTAAACTGGACTAGTGTAGATCTGCTGTTGGTGAGTACTAAACTGGACTAGTGTAGATCTGCTGCTGGTGAGTGCTAAACTCGACCAGTGTAGATCTGCTGTTGGTGAGTGCTGAACTCGACCAGTGTAGATCTGCTGCTGGTGAGTACTAAACTCGACTAGTGTAGATCTGCTGTTGGTGAGTGCTAAACTCGACTAGTGTAGATCTGCTGTTGGTGAGTACTAAACTCGACTAGTGTAGATCTGCTGTTGGTGAGTACTAAACTTGACTAGTGTAGACCTGATGTTGGTGCGTATTAAACTATACCAGTGTAGATCTGCTGTTGGTGAGTACTAAACACAATTAAAATATTTCAACATTTACACTCCATGTACACTCTTTGGACTGCGTAGACAAAACCTGCCCTACGCAGGTCTGGACATTCTTTAACATTACAATCATATTTTTCAAGGTTTGTTTATATTGGCTGGCAATTTTTGGTAAAAAGTTACTTTTTAGCCATGCTAGACATGCTTACCTATCCACTTAACTGCCTAACATGCATTTTTAAAAGAGATAATAACGCTCCTGAATTGGGGTTGAACAATCTACCAAATGAAGTTGTTTTACCCGTGACCGGTCGTGTTTTACCCCATAGTTTATATAGATTTTCATGCGTTACTTGAAATAATCATTTCATTTAATCACTCACTTGTCTTGCTTTGGGCAATAAACTGGGGTGTTATAAAAAATTCCCTGCTACATGCTGGAAGCCCGATGCGCCAATATATTGTGGTAGGTACCTATATACCTATAGTTTTTTATTTATTCATATGCGTAATTATAAGCTATACAGTGTACAAGCTTGTTTATGATTTTAGTCCTTTCTCTCTCCACCTGACCAATCTACGGCCTAATAGTATGAAATTTATTGTAACTTTTGAAAATTTTGAAGCCACTAATGACGAGAATTATGCTTCTTTGTTTTTAAACTCTGATATAACTTTTTTAAGCCATCAATAATGAATTGATAGCTACCAACGTCACTATGATCCTCCCTTAACATCTTTATAGTAGCTGCTTAGGGTTCATATTCTGTCTTCTCAGGGTTGTAGTAATGTTTTATTTTTTGCTGATTTTAATTTAAATCATTTTCTTAAATTTGTTTTTATTTTTTGTTCCTTTTATCGCTCATAATTTCCTTCATAGTTTCATCTAGCTATCTGAATAGCATAGAAATGCGATTATTTATTTGATGACTTTAATTTAAATCATTTGCTTGAATTTGTTTTTATTTTTCGTTCCTTTTATCGTTCAAAATTTCCTTCCTTGTTTTCATCTAACCATCCAAATAGCATAGAAATAACTATCCGAATAGCTTGAAAATGTGATAAATATGAAGCAACTTTACAGGGCTACCCTGAGACGAAACACGAGATTGAGGCTACAGTATCAGCGGAGACAAGTACGCTGCTGGCACATGTGAGTACTTGAGCTTAAGATATTTCCGGTTCTATCTCTCCCGTGGACAGAATATTAGTCGTATATAAAACTATGGTATTTTTAGCGCATTTTCTCATTTATGCAAAAAATGCACTATTGTGCTCGCCATGTTCGTCTGTCTGTCCGTCCGTCCGTGACCTCAAGTTTTCGTTGATGAGAAATGCGCTCTGTCACTCACTACTGAGTTATATTTTTATACATTTTTTCAATGAAATTTAACATTTTTTCAATTAAATGTAAGTTATTCATATCTATTAAGTTCGTAAAGATTACGACGTCACTAGGACGTGTACCGGTACTCGGCAAACCTAATGCAATAAACTTACTACAATTGTAGTTCAAGTATGAATTTCATATCGTGCTTTTCATATTCAAGTTCCATTAATATCTAAATGGTTTGCATAAGTGCAATGATTACTGAATTGTTTATAAAATATCAGCACTTAAAATTCCTCTATCAATCAAAAATAAAATATCAACACTTGAAATTCCTCTATCAATCAAAAAAGTTTTCAACGAGTATCCTAGGTAGGATATGTACGCATTGCATGAATTGTATTGCATTTTATTTCGATACAGAATGTCACTCCCGCCTCCTCTTGTGGCCAAGCCGAAATCCTCGCTCATGATCAAGATATTTTGAGTGACACGACCGAATCCTCAAGCGAAGACACCGACGAAAAAACTTTGTCAGCGCTTATTGATCAATTAACGGCGAATATTGATCCTCCCAACGAGTGTGCGTGCTGCCATCGATGTGACACAGCTGAATATCCCCTGAAATTGAAGATATTTAGTGCGATACGAGGAGACTCGCAATCTTATGGTGATCTACATTTGCCTCATACACCATTTGTCTGCAATGAATGCACCGTGTATTTAGAATTGCACGAGGAGAATTCACAATGGGCCCATGCATGGCCAGCTGTCATCTACACATTTCTAACAAGCGACACATTCTCTTGTGATCCAAAAAAGTTTATGGAAATGTTACCACAGACCATCAGGAACAGTTATGTGTCATTAGTGCCAACATTGAGCGAAAAAATTTCCGCAGTCTTGAATTTGCCGTCGAAATTCGTTGATGGAACGCATGACTTGATTAATTTCAAGTCGCATTTATTCGACCATGCGGGTATATTGGCATCCAAGTTGAATGCAACTTGCTTCCCTTCCGTCAAGTGCCCCATGGGTTGCAACACTTACCTTGATGGAGAGGTTGGCAAAGATGTGGATTATTTGCCCCTCTCACATTATTTGTCCTTCATTTGTCCAGAGTTTACTTCCTTCCAAGCTGACCCTAATTGCTTCAGAGGAGCTCGTCCTGACTGGCCCAGTCGAGGCGAATACGAAGGTTTTAAATTTGCTCCTACTCTTATAGTTGATGCAGAGAAAGGACTATGTGTCGTTACTTGCGCGCAAACTATCCACGCCGATGGCCGTAGCCTTTACATCCACGTACCCCGCAATCCGGTCCTGGGTAGTACATCCGAACTTTGCCCCGATCTCATCGCTCCCGTGTCTGTAAATCCACATTTAGTTAGGCCTGGTCGTTCGGACAAGATGAACAGCAGTCATGCTGTGTTTCGCGAGTACGGCGATACCAGCGGCACTTCTTGCTTTAGCCTGACTCCAAAACCGTACCTTGACGGACCGTGCTCTGTGCCACAAATAGAAAGTATGGGCTTAGCTCTCAACCAACGCGAAGAAATTTTACACACCCTTGTTAAGGCAAAAACCCTGCCGAATGAATTTTTCCATAAACTTGAAGAGTCTTATGAAAAACATCGATTGGACGACGAGGTTGTGGAAGAAGCAAAAGCAACAGGGACCTACGTAAACTTCCACGACGCCTCCCTAATGATGATGCAGTACCACAAAAAATTAATGAGCAATTCTCGCAAGAAACCTCAAAGGGATTTGAGGCCGATAGGGAAGGATGTTTTGAAACTCGTTCATCCCGGCAATAAAATAGGTCGGTTGCCGTTCAAGCTTGCGCTCCTTGGTAAACCAAGGAGCCACAATGGCCTATTGCTTCATAATATCTTGACATTACTGCTTCATAGTACACACCTTTATCAAATGTTTTTAACTAAGTTGGAGATTGAACGTCCGGGTTCTATACATCATCTAGTTCAATCATGCGTACTTAAAATTGCGTCTGGTATCAAATTAAGTGAAGCCTTGAAAATTGAAAAAGAAATTTTGCGGATGTCTTATGACAAAGTTTTTTGTGGTAATAACTGTCAAGCTATTCTTGCTCTTCTCTGCGGCGTGAAAACTGTCTCCATTCATTGCAGTTTTCAAGGTCTCGAAAGTATTGCGGACGGTTCGGAAGATGTTCTCTTGGTAGACAGTTCAGCAGTGCGCTCCAGAGAAGCCCCTCAGACACTGTGCAATGGGCGCTGGCAATTAATGCTGTCTCTTGCATACCGCATAGTCGGAAGAAAGAAATCCCACTTTGAATTTGATTTCCGTTGGAGTCCTGAATTGAAGTGGCACCACTGTTCCTCAGATACAACTACTCTTTCGCAGGTCGGCGACAATCCACGGCCATTTTCATGGAATATTCTCTTGTACATTGAGACCGATTCAGTTCTGTGCATATCTAAATACGATTTTCTACAATTTTATGGAGCGCAAACCACGTTAAAATGCTCTAAACACAGAGCGCTATCTATGATAAGCGTACTACCAGACTCGTCTGTAAAATGTTGTCTTCCCCGTTGTCCATCTTCAGCTCGTTATCGTTGTAGCAAAGGCTACGGCCAGAAGTGGATGCCATGCGCAGCAGGAGTGTGCTTGGAGCATGCGCGGCTCATTCTGATGAGCGGAGAAAGGAAAACTTTCATCGATCCTCCGTTAGATGACATTACTTTGCCTGAGCTGACGCATCACGACGACGTGGATTCTATGCATGATGCTACAATGGCTACCCTAGACGACCTGCAGCCTCTATTTCCTGATGAAATGAGTAATGTTGCTGAAGCGCACTCGCAGCCTCTCGACGCTCTTTCTGGGCAACTTCCCGTTGCGACTGAAGGCGTAAATCTTTCGTATTCGAGGGGCGCGAACTCTACTCCTGGTCATTTCCTCCTCAATACGTGTTTGCACATGTCGAGAGTAGAAATAAATGAGCAGTCATCTGCTTCTTTTCAGAACGTATTGACGCGCGTTAATGACATATCGCCTAAAGAGTCACGACTGTTTTTGTATCCAGAAGGGCTGTTATTCCCGACAATCTTCTGGGCGGCCGTTGGTCGGAGTGTCATCGGTGCTCTGCCTTCTGTATTTTATTCCCCTTTAGGTCGAAAGTCTGTTAATGGCGAATTTGCATCTCTCGATGACCATCTTCGAGTGAGGTTATTGGACATGTCTCTGCTCACTGCTCACGATCCTAATTACTTGGCCTTCTGCTTCGACATTTACCTTAACAGTTTACTCCGGAGCAACAAAGTTTTAGTCGCTCTGCACCAAGGTTTGGAGCACGTGAACCGCGCAAGCGTTATGATTGAAGCTAGTGGTAGTTCATTGAAGTCTAATGAAACGGATGATAGAATAGAGGTCAAACGCTTGTCCGCTATCGTAGATGAGAATCCATGGGACTTTTTCCTAACCTTGACTTGCAACGACTCAGAAACCATGGGCGTAGCACCAATCAGGAGAGCACTAGAGCAGAAGTATCACGGTAAAGAACTCGACAAGCAACTGCAGAATGCGTGCCCCCTTCTCTGTCGAGCTTGGGCCCGTACCGTGCATTACCTCTTCGAATTTCTCGTGCACGGCAAAGAGAAGATCTTCGGCGAGCTGAAAAACGTGTGGTATAGGTTCGAGTTTCAGAACGCTGAAGGTCTGGGGAACAAGCCATGCGTTCACGCTGGGATCACTCTGAAAGACCGCTCTTGCAGTGTTGAAGAACGCATGAAGAGAACTCACGACAACCTCGATGAAATGTTCAATAAAAATGCAAGGACTGATATGATAAGCCTCTTAAGCGATGGCCTAGTGAAAGATCAAGCTGACTTCGTTAAACTCTTTAATCTCGCAGACCGGTTTACTCAAAGTAAGTGCGCAAATTCTAAACTGAGTTTCATGAAAAAGATGCCTAACGGTGGAAACGAGAGGTATTGTGTTCCAAAATATGATAATGAGACCCAGAAACACCTATCACAACTTGGGTTTGGAACAAAAAAGTACCCACCCGAACCCAACTCAATGCACAAGCCTTGTAAGGATGAGGTCAAGAAAACAACAGTGGTTGAAAGCTGCTACTCGTACGACGCTGTGTCTCGCGTGTATCGAGTGCCCTCGCATGGACGCATTTTCGCTATGTTGCGTTCCACGGTCAAAGTTCAAATTTGCGACCACGAGTTCGCGAGAAACTCTTTCGCTGAATATGCAGCGCGCGCCGACGAGAAGCGTAAAGTTATCATGACATTTTGCAAGAAAACTACTGCAGACGTCGATCAGCCTCGCGATCTCTGCCACACCAAGATCTCTGTATCTAAAAAAGAGCAAGGTGATGAAATGCGAGAAGATGCGACAAAAAGAGCTCTGTGTCGGACAATCACCGCCACAGAGATGGTCTGGTTTACGCATCAGCTCCCTTTCGTTGGATGCACTGCACATTTTGTGAATTGTTTCACTCACAACTTCGAACGCAGGCAGGCGATGTATCGTAAACAAGCCGAGCACATCCGTGACTGGATGAATGCTGAAAGCATTTATTTCCCTCTGGGGAAAACGGATGAACGCGCCTGCTTCCCTCGGTGGCGACGTTTCACACGTTCTCAAACTTTTTTGATGAACTCTTTTCCGAACTTCGATGAGAACACGTTCTTGTTCAGCGTTCGACCTCCCGAGTTGCGTGAGATTATGAGACTCACTGATTATCTCAAGTGGTTCAGTGTCACTCTTACAACAACTATCGCGGTTGCTGAAGATGTGAGCGAGTTTCCTTGGATCGACGCCAAAGGCAGGAGAGTTCGAGTAAGAAAAAGATATGTGAACGAAGTGCTTCGTTTCTTTGAGAGCCTCGCAAACCGTGCTCACCCCAGCCCTGGAACTCGGGAACTGTATTTACTTTTTAAAGATCTCGATCGCGACGTTGTTGAAGGACGTAACTCCGAATGTGTGCATCGTTTCGTCGATATGGCCGCTGACAGGGATGTGGTCATTGTTTATAACTGTATCGAGCCAAAATCCACTTCCAATTTCTTCTTTCACCTCCTTCTCACATTAGGTTCTTTTGTTACGGAACTTGACCTATTACGAGGTCCAACTTTACTGCACGCCTTCCAGTATGCAGGTCTCATTGCTGACGCCGACAATCCTACTGAAGAAGAGGCTCTGTCCATCATCAGACAATACGTAATCACTCAGCTGCGGTGTTTGCCTTACGATGTGGAAGAATTTTCACGGATCTTGCGTTTGGCAATGGATAGACTACTGGATTTCTTTGAGACGAGAGGGCGCAAGGTGCATAATGCCGTCCTGTAGGACGAGCCAAAGAAATGTAAGTGTCTTTACGATCACCAATGTTCTAGGACCCAGGAACAAAGATGGTCAGTCAGGCACCAGTTGCTTCTTCAGCGAAAAGTTAGAAAAGCCTAAAATTTTATAAGCGACCCAAGCTTCAGTACAGTTATGTGAACCATTATTGCTTCTCAACTGTAATATTGTTGATTTAGAAGCAAAACAACAGTTTCTTTCCCAGGTCTCCCAAATACCAATAATTTGGTTGGTAATGAGATTACTAAAGACTAAATTTCGAGAGCCAAAAAATACCATCAACAAGATGTTAATAATGACTAATATAGCACATGTGGATACATTTGAAATTTAATGCCTAACATGTATGAACCTAAATATCCAATAAACTTTCACAAACAATAGATTTATTCTTCAGCCTGAAACCTTGTTTGACGAATAAGTTAGACCTTGTTTATAACGCACGCGTGAAGTACGTCATTACTCATTACTAAACGAAATTTGTGACCAGTTCAATAAGTACAAGTTTGTAATAATTTCACAGAGGATTCATTGAATCTTATTTTGTGAAGCACTAAAGGTGGATGAAAGATGAATTTATTAATTATTTCACCATTTTCCACCAGGCTTGACAAATTGCCTAAAAAACGGCCAAGTCCGCGACCAAAAAAAAGGCCTATAGCTCAATATCTACTAGTATATTTGTGGGTTCCGTTGTAAAACTTCCATTTTTTCTGTTTATAACATTCAATTAGGAAGACTCCTATCATAAATTTTAGTCTGCCAACGCAATTGAAAAGCACTAAATCACGGAATTTGTCCGGGAAAAAAGACCGTCTGGCAACCCTGGCGTCCCACTTGCCATAGAAACGCAATCAATTGAGAAATCGTCGTTCGTTTTACCTCTCGAAGCTGCATCCGATTCCGGTTCGGTGTATCCATGGTTGAACTAGTATAAGGTTGACTCATCAGAAGCCCATTTTTGCGGATATAGTTCGTTGTTCGCTTGTGACGTCACTGATCTCAGTGACGTCACGGCCATTAGCCAATCACCGAAATGCGATCAAACCAGTCAAGCAATTCGTCATGGGAATGACGGGTTTGTTTACGTTTCTCGATCTACGTGACGTAACAAAAAAAACTGAAAGAAGGAACTTCTCGTGGGTCACCTTATATAGTTCAACCATGAACTATATAATTCATGAACTCTCATCAATTCGGACGTACCAGATGGCGAAATGGGAAATTCGTAGGCTCATTGCTATTAATAAATTATTTATCAAATTTCGCGCAGATCCGTCCAGATTTGAGGCAATTATGCACCGGGCATTTTCTCAAAAATAGCGTTATAATATATAAAAAAAGCCACTCAGAAATTTTTGCAAATCACTAGACTGACAATGACGATTTGCTATTTATAACTTTTATATTTAATTTCATGCATGTCAGACATAAGATGAGGCAGATTAAATGACATGTTGTTATTTATCAATCTCGTAGCCCATTCAATGCACTGAAATTTCAGTAATCGGTTGCAAATCCTCCAAATGTTTTTTAAATGGTTTAGTGATTTAATAGATTGTTTATTTTAAAAATTTATCTAGCAACTTCCGCTAGTTTACGGAATACGGGGTCTCCGAACAGTTGAAACGATCATTTGTTCGCCGCGTGTGCGTGTTGTTTACTTTCGCTCGGGCGAGCGCAATTGTATTTGTTCACTATCTGACAACAAGTTAGGCTTTAGGTGGGCGTGTTTAAATGTTAGGATCTTATACAAGTTATCAACGGAAAGATTCTGGCATTTGCAATTGTTTCTATATATTTAATAATTACTAATTATGTCAACCGACTACCAGAATGTTAAAGTTGGAAAATTACGCCTCAAAGGAGAAAAGTAAGTTGATGACTTTGATGTGTGTTCCTGAGTCCTGACATAATGAGTGAGTAGCCTAGCCCTAGCCTACATCAAATCTATGTCTATCAGTGTATAATCAGTCTCTATTATTGTTTTATTTATTTATTATTGTAGGTAAGATGGTTTAGGACATTAGCCTTTAGGTAAAGGTAATGTTTAAGTAGATATTTTGCTGGGAGTGTAGTTTGAGCTGTAGTCTGTAGAAGTTCCCAATTTCATCAAATGACATGTTGGCAAGAGCAAACTATAATAATTTTTTTATCAAACAAAAACCAGGGTGCAGAAAGTAGGTGAATATCAAAATTTCTTTGGAAGAGTTATAGGGTAAACGTGGTTGCGGTGTATTCCGACACATTAAGGACGCATCAAGAAATGAAAAACTATAAAAAACATACCCGTATGCGTTACTCGAGTTCTGTTTGCTTTATATGACTTCCAAAACACCGTACTACGCGCCACGGCGCGAGCAACGACGAAACGTCACAAAATGTTGCCATATTTATTTGAAAGCCTTTAGAATACAAACCTACCAAATCCCTATATGCTGACACTCAGTGTCAGCATATAGGGAGTGTCACTCAGTGTCCAATTCATGGTGGCAGGGAATTATTGTGAGTACTTATCGGTCCATCGCCGTGCGTCGGTCTTAACCCTTCGCAAGGCCCTATGCCCTTGGCCCTTGGGCCCCTCTTGCAAGTTGTAATGGTCTAAACTCAACAGTTCGACCCCTGGCCACATCCCCATGGTCTCATCACAACTCCCTTTAGAAATATGTGGAGTTTCGAAATTGATAGTAATAAATCAATAAATATTTGAACTGGGAAATTCCTTACTTACTTACATTGGTTCCACAATGATATCAATGACGTAAAAAATTATAATGACATCAGTTAAGCCTCACTGCCTCAGAGGCTCAGCCATGATTCTAGCTTTGCTAAGTCCTTACACTCTTACCTCGTAATTCATGATGTTAGAACTTCGATATTCAAATGCTGAATATCTGTCAAGTGTCAATATCACAATCAAGATTATTTCACAATCAAAAATATGTTATAATATCACAATCGAAAATATTATTCACAAATAACCATTCGTAAATTTCAGTGTAAAACTTATTAAAATTTTACGTTTCTGTGTGGATTTTGATGCTGTTAGCATTGAAATACTTGACAGTATCTCTGATGCAAGAAATACTGGCTAAATACATTTTAATTTAGAAATTAACGTCAATCGAAAATTCGAAATTGCTGCTGTCAGGGCTATGTCGATTCTTGCGAACCGATTGTTGTATCCAGTCGCTTATATTGAAAATAAAATGATTTAAGCAAGTATTTCTTGCATCAGAGATAATTAAAAGTTTGCTAATGTTAACAGCATTATAATACATGCAGAAACGTACATTTTTTATAGATATTAAAAATTTAGGCTCTATGACTTGTATACTATGTCTATCACAGTCTATAGGATTTTGAATTGCTGCATGCATTCAAATTCAAATTAGGTCCACCCACGCCCCACAGCCAGTGTAGCTGTCAGCTCATCTTCATCAGAAGTGTGAAAGCTTTTGCCAGTGAAGGTGTGTTATACGATTGGTCCATAAAGAAGTGTTGATCGGTTCAAAATGACATAAGAACAGGTTCTTTTGAATAACCTATGGATTGGCACCATGTGACACTGTGTGTGGCAAATGGCAATATCCGGCACGTGGTGAGGCGTATTCCGTCCGTGCTTCAAATTCTACTGATACGTAATGCCGTCATCCACGTGTTTGTATTCCGTTTGCTGTGTGAGCTGTATTGGAATACAACACGGCTTTGAATTAGAACACTAATGAATAATGAACACTACTTAATTACGCTTTCTATTAACAACAATTAAGCTTTTAATTAAGCAAATTTTAATTTTTGTACATAGCTTGGAACGATCTGTGTGTGTCCAATTCAAGTTGTGATGGAATTAGTTTTCATGTGTCTAAATCCATTTCTCAACTTAATCATCTATTAATTTATTTACCACTTGAAATCAGCGAATACAAGTATACTTAAAGGATTCCTAATATATTCACAGACGTATTTTAAAGTCTCAAACCATAATATTCTTCCTATACAAACAGTTATCCACTATTTGGTAGAGCAAGGTCAACTGTCAAATTTGACACATTTTTCGATGATCTCAGTCATCTCACTGGGTACTGGGTAGTGTCACTAGTGTGCATTGTCTCCCTTTGGATCTCAATATTTTCCCACTAGATGGCCAAGACCTAGTGTTTTGGCAGTAGTTCGACGCACAAATGTATGACGTCACCATTTCAACCATCAACGAACGCATGGAACTAAAACAAAGCTTAATATAAAGGAAAAACTAGAGAGGTGACGGAATTACCCACGATGTCAAAATATACCGCGTTTACCCTACTATCAAAGTTGTTAGCAGCATTTTCTTATTAAAAATTAACTGGTGTGCCATGGTCAGGAAGATGTGCCAGGTGCGTGCTGCGTGGGAATTTATATTGTCATTTTAGCAATCTGCGCCGGTAAAAAAAATGCAGTAAAAATATGCGCCGTGCTCTGAAAGTTGTTTAAAGATTGATGCATGGCAATGGGCCGCGTTGACTAGGTAGATTTCTAAAGTGTTAACTGTTAACCCAGATTCTAACTCTCCGCCCACTCACAGATGGGAGATGACATGACTCCACCCACGCCAAGTCGCCAACTTCTAAGAGTTGGCACAGTTATGAATATTTATTAATTATTCATAGATCACAATTTGGTTGGACATGAATTACAAAACTGAAGAATAAAAGGAGACAATCCACATGGCTTGAGATTGATGTCTTCTAATAAAGGACTGATTTTTGCAAGTATGCCATGGTGCAGAGGGTGGATGCGGCATCGCCAATATATGGGTTTTTAAGCCCTAAGCGTTGCCGGGTAATTTTAAGATGCGTCGCCGGGTAATTTTTAATGAAAAGCCAATTACGCTGAGTAATGAAAAACTATTTACAAGCCACAAACTTATTTACAAGGTTGCATGCTTGTGTTACCCCAAATAATTAATTTTACCCTAAAAACAGTCCAATTGTACAGCAAGTGTCAACTGAACATGTGATAATGCAGTCTGACCACTCTAATGTGACCACAACTACATAATCGTAAACTTGATGTTTACATTTTTTTGGTGGGAACTCATCGCAACTGATTTCCAGACAAGCTTCACTGCATACTGATTAATCCAACATACTGGAAACCTTACTTTTTTAAATAGTTGGTCGAAGACTGACAAATATATTAAATGAAAGAATTTCAATCTAAATGTGTCAGCAAGATCTTCTGAAGGCATAAATTTTGCTACTGAAGCATCGCCAAAGATCTTGCAATATTCATCCACTCTCTGCACAGTGGCAAGTATGTAGTACCTACAAACCTGTATTTCTATGTTGGGAATATGTTACATTCCTAACATCCTCCCAGTTGGTGGAATGGGTTTGCTTGGCGCAAACCCATTGAATAAAAAAATACAGGTACCAAAAATTTTTTTGATTATCATTTCTCATTTTTTGCAACTTTGAAGGTTATTTATATAAACAAACAACAATCATTAATAAAATATGAATAGCTTCAAGGGAAATATTACCACACATGTGTAGAACCACATCACATGACACATGATGTATCAGCAATTTTCAGCATTACTTTAAAGTCTGTAAAGACAATGTTGCCATGCCATTTGGTTGGGAATTTCTGATGACCGCTATGTCTAGACATACCTATTTTATTTACAAAAGTTTTCACACTCAAAAACTATTTTTCTATTAATTAGGATGAAATTATTTCTGACTTCATTCACTAACTGTAGAACCTGTAATAACCCTATCATCGTATGATTAGTATAGTACTATATATGTTAGTATTAGATGGCAGAATTTAATTGTTTATACACGTGCGATTGATGACCAGAGAATTAGTTGATTTATATTATCAGGGAATGGAACTTTTCTTCAGATGACGGTAGATCAAAAGGCAAATTTCAGGAAGTAGTCTTTCTTTATTAACGACGTTTCGAATGCACCAAACATTCATTTTCAAGTTAGAAGAGGCATTAAATATTGACATTTTACCAATTATGAATTCACAATATATTATGAATTCACAATGTATTATGAATTCACAATATATACTATATATGTATATATTGAACAAGCAAAATAAAAAAATCGGATGGAATATTTGATTACCTAGATACAGAAGGTAAACAAGCAAATGAGGCAATGTTGCCATAAGAAATTTGTAGATAATTTCTTTTGAAATAAATTTCTAGATTTTACTTTAACAAAATTTTTATATTAAGGAAAATCATATATTATTGAAGGATAATTAAACACACATTGAATATTTTGAGTTTTTTGTTTGTTCTACTGTTCCTTGATAAACTGTATTTGCGCCGATGACTGCGCTGGGTGAAATGAATGACCGGAATTTGTACCAACATCTGCGCAAACAGAAAATTTAAAACTCATTATGCGCAGGAAAATTCTCTGAAAACCTGCATAACTCTTAGTGTGGCCCGGTGACCCATCTTGAAAATGGCTGGTGATGCTTGAAGTTTGGACTAAAAATCCGTATATTGATTGGGGTTGCACCCTCTGCACCCTGGAACAAAAACAGTTTCAACTTAAAATACTTGTTAGGAGCTCTGCAATTTTATATCAATTAACCTAACATAAATTATGTGATACCTATTAGAGCTGCAATATTTCAGAAAAAAAGTAATTTTCGAATCCTAGGTTAGACTTTAGAGCATAGCTAGATTTGAATTTTCCTACTTATTCCTGAAATCTTACTGTACAAAGGAAACAAATTTTCTATACATTTAGTATCTGCTAGCCCAATAATGAATAATGCTCCTTTGTTAACAATTAGATAGGAGGTAATTCATCTAACAATTCTAGCAAGAATAGTGCAGTTCCTAAAATTATGGGACCACTTTAGTTGTAGCTCAAAAGGTAGATGTTTTTCATGCTAGAAGCAAAGTAGCAAATGTCTGATGTATGAAATATTTTATAAATCGATTCATTTTGTATTTTTTGATCTGTTATATTTTATTCAATACTAATAGCCTTACAAGCTCAAACATGAAAATTGGGCAAATGCTGTCTGTAAGAGAGATAAAAATGCTCCTGCTTGTGGTCGATTTCACGCATTCCTAATTTCCTATGCCCCTAACTAATTTCTTTGATAAAAATAAAAGAACAATGGCTTGCTCTTGCCTGTGATTCTCAAGAATCACCAATGAAACAATCATATTGTAGTCATTTATAAAATTGTATTGTTAATTTATGTTTTTTATGTCTAGTAAAGTAGGCACAATAGCAGGTTGTCAGGGGCAGATAGATGCCTTAGGTGCATGGAGACTAATATTGTTATTTTCCAAATCCATGCTGTGTGCCTAAATAAATTGAGAATTAAATTTGCCATATATTTTTAAATAAAAATGGTTTTTATATGTTGTTTGTACAAGTATAAAAACAAATCCCTTGAATTATTAAATCCTTGAAGTTAAATCCCTTAAATTATTAAATCCTTGAAATAAATCACTTGAATTGAATTAAACAAATCAAATGTTTAATGCCAGCAGCAGTGAGCAGGTAGCTATGTGACAATGTGATTGTCTCTTTGAGCTGAGGCATTCATTTTGAATTATTCCAATTTTAACCTATAATTTAAAAATGTAAGAAATTTAAAAGGTCAACCAACTGTGGACAAATTAACTGAAAACATATTTTGTTATCAGTTAATCCAAATTAGTATTAAAAGCATACTTTTCTGCCAGACAAATATCAATGTTTTCACTATTTTGGAAAACTGATTTGAGTTGATGTTTAATTCAGGGTGAAGAAGCACAAGAGCAAGAAGCGGAAGCATGATGATGATGGCGCGAGTGATCTTTCCTGTTCACAACAAAAATCCTTGACTGATAAAGACACTGAAGCTCACGGTGGCTGGTGGAAAGTCATGGCTGTGCATGAGGTGGGTGCAATAATAATAACCAATTAAAACTTAAAACTAATTATTGCAAACTTTATTTATTAGTACATTAACTATTTAAATTGAAATCAATAATTTAAATAAAATACTAATAAATAATAATGAATTCATTTAGATCATTTTTCGATTATTGTAAACTGTTATAACTGCTTCTGTATTCTTGCACAATTCTGTCCTGACAATAATTGGATGCAAGTCCATTTTCTTACCTATTTTCTGATAATAAAAATGTTTCAACAATTATCAGTAGTATATATTTCAATCATCCAAAAACTCTTCTTCTCTAATCCAGCACAATGTATAATTTTTAACTCTGTGGTTTATGGGATGGTTTATTTGTTGTTTAATAGTTTACCTACCTAATTCAATGTTTTACTGGATGAAATTTGAAATTTTTAATCATACATCCCATCTGTATAGTACCGTATAAGTACTGTCAAAATGTCATTTTATGTAACAATTTGTAAATGCCATTGTTCAAACAGATAACTTGTGAATTTTGACTGACAAACTGCTATTATTTTTGGTTTCTACTCTACAAAATTTGTTCATTGTTTTATATTCATAGAAAAATAAATCTCCAAGCTACTTCTTATATTATCATAGTTTTTGTATTGGTTAATTACCGTAGCTATGTAATTTTACTGCCTTTTTGTTTGAGAATATTCTTAATCAGAGTTTATTTTCCAGATTAGAGGGAGCATTGCAATACAAATGGGGGATGGTCCAGTTTACATGAGAGCAATGGATGATGGACTGTTTGCCCTTGGGCCTCCACATGATGAGGGTGAATAAAATTTAACATTTTTGGTAAATAATGTTATAGATCTCCAGTTGTCCACTATATATATATTTTAAAAGATTTAAAGTAGCTTGGTGAATTATGAATGAGTTGTTACATTTAATGTTAAAATAAAATCTTGTTTCATTTAAATCAATTTATAACCTATGTAGTACATTTTATAATTCATTTTAAAATTTTTAAGTGTGCAAGTAAAAGACCCAGCCTCAGCATGGCTGGTATTTTGGTTAGGGCTCATTGCTTTCCTTTCCCTTTGCAAGTAAATGTGACACCTCCACCAGCCGGTTTGGTATGACCAATGTCATACAACTTAATGTAATACGCTATAGTAGTGTAGTAGCACTAATATATGATACCACTATAATTAAATGCACTGAATGGTTTGCAGGTGATGGTCCTCATCCAGAAGAGGTGCTAACAGCGCTACCAACAGGTGACATTCGCAAGGTTGCATTCAAGTCTGGCTATGGCAAGTACGTTGGTGTTGACAGCAAAGGACGGCTTATAGGCAGAGCTGAGGCCATTGGACCTCGGGAGATGTTCACGCCTGTTTATCAGGTAGCTCATGAGAGTGGAAAATGATAGATTTTTTTACAAACCACTTCATTTTTTATTCCTGATCATTTTGGAATTTTTTGCACTTTTTTTGTATTGTATCATATTTTTGTGTATCATGTACTTATTTCCATCAAAATTTCTGAATTCAATGCTTCCTATAACTTCAAAATGAATGTTGTCACATTTTAAACGTTGCTAATAAATTATAATTACTTCCTGAGACCTGCATTTCGATCAACCAACGTCATCTGAATAAGTTGTTTGATCTTGGAAGTTTACATTAATGCATTCTATGGTAATTAACCGCCCTAATTTAGACAAGCTAATTCTGCCATCAAATTACTACAGGCTTGTTTTGTAAGGGATTTTGTGTAAAGCAAAAATTTGAATTATTAAAAGATTAATATATTCCAGGATGGCAAAGCTGCTCTGCTGTGCTCCACTGAATGCTTTGTTGGGATAGATGATGAAGACAACATCGTGGCGACCAACACTACAGCCGGACCCCTGGAAATGATTTCAATACGGTCCAACACCGTCAGGTATGTACAGTCCGGCCCCTGTAAATGATCTCAATACGGTCCAACACCGTCAGGTACGTATGATCGGGCACCTGTAAATGATCTCAATACGGTCCAACACCGTCAGGTATGTATGATCGGGCACCTGTAAATGATCTCAATACGGTCCAACACAGTCAGGTAGGTACAGTCTGGCCCCTGTAAATGATCTCAATACGGTCCAACACGGTCAGGTAGGTACAGTCAGTCCCCTGTAAATGATCTCAATACGGTCCAACACAGTCAGGTAGGTACAGTCAGGCCCCTGTAAATGATCTCAATACGGTCCAAAACGGTCAGGTAGGTACAGTCTGGCCCCTGTAAATGATCTCAATACGGTGCAACACAGTCAGGTATGTACGGTCGGGCACCTGGAAATGATCTCAATACAGTCCAACACGGTCAGATAGGTATGGCTATTCTCCTAGAAAAGATCTTAATACGGTCCAACACCGTCAGGTATGTACGGCCGTTCTCCTAGAAAAGATCTCAATATGGTCTAACGCGCTCAGGTATGTACGGCCGTTCTCCTAGAAAATGTCTCAATACGGTCCAACACCGTCAGGTATGTACGGCTGTTCTCCTAGAAAAGGTCTCAATATGGTCCAACACCGTCAGGTATGTACGGCTGTTCTCCTAGAAAAGGTCTCAATATGGTCCAACGCGGCCAGGTAGATTAACAGCATTTCAGGCAAGTGCAATCATACACACAAAACAAAGTGTTATTCTACTTAAACATACCAGTTATATTTTTATTTTGATTTGCTGAATACTACCTCATTTTGTAACGACTGGTATGATGATATGGCATGCCAACACGTAGTTTGATCCATAGTTTTAATGCAATTGAACATAATCTTACTGTTTACATCTCACAACAGCTTTATTTCGTTTGATTTTAGATTATGGCTGTTGATGGGGAACACAAAACAGTGTTTTTTTTAAGACTTAACACATTTATTGGCCTACGTTAAAAGTTATTATTATATTATAGATGCTGAACACAATTTCGACTTTGTTCCCTGTTGCAGGTTCAGAGTTTTTTCCATACAACCTTTTATATACAGTAAGCTATTTGCTCTGAATTTTCCCCATGCTCAATTTTATATACGCTAATGATTTATTTGCTCTGAATAGTTCTGGCCTAATTTTCTCACTCATTTGTCGTCGTGATTTCACCAAATTCTATCCTACCTATGCTATTATGTATCATACCAGCATTTTAATTCTATCCTGCAGATAATATATGTATATTCTATTCCACCCAAGCTAATAAACATCCTGAATTTTCAGAGCTAAGGACAAGAGTGATGAGATGCCGGCAGAGGAGCAAGGATCACTCAAGGATGTCGAGGTGAACTACGTGAAGAAATTCCAGAAATTCCAAGATAAAAAAATGCGAGTCAACAAAGATGGTTACGTCGAACTACGAGATGCGCGAGACGCGGGCAAGCTTCACGAGACTCTGCTTGACAGACGCGCTAAAATGAAGGCTGATAGATATTGCAAGTGAAGGCAATTATATACTAAAATTGTCCTCAGATATTGCAAGTTAAGGCAGATAAAGGCAATATACAGGCAGTCATTGTTAACCGAGGCATATGAAGGTAGATATATATTACAAATAAAGGCTGATGAAGGCTGACTGCAAGTAAAGGTAGATAGTGCAGCAAGTGAACTCAGATGGAGACTGAAAATAAGGGGAATTAAATGCTGGTTTGTAAATGCAGGCAGATAGATACCCAGTCGTCACGTACAATTTGAAATCAGAAATAATTTATAATAAATATTTTAGGATAGGTGACTCAGCGCAGTCACACTGATATTAACAATCAAATTAGCTGCACTGAAACGAAGGTAGTTAGATGATGTTGGTAAAATTTCACTTTCATAATGAATAATATCTGCAGAATGTATATTAATGTTTGAGTTGTAGTTAATAAGGTCCAGCAACGTCTGTAAACAAAATTCAGGGGCCGTATTATCAAAACTTCGTAAGTACGCAAAATTGACTTACGAGAGGTGTAAGTGCTGACTTGATGACGTAACTCTAGAGGTGGTATTATCAAAACATTTGCGCGGGAAGATAAGTAACGTAACTGTACGCCTGCTCGGAGATGTCGTAAGTGAAGTTCCCCACAAGTTTAGAGTGTCTGCTGAAACGATATGAAACTATTGATTTACAAGCAAGTAGCAACACCTTGACTTGTCATAGAATTTTGTCAATAATCCGACAGCGCGGATTATACACGCATAGAATGATGGCTCTACTTGTGATATCTCCACTACTTGATCGTGCAACATTTGCGCGATCAAAATATGTGAATAATGTGATCGTGCTAAACAGTGCTATTGGAAAAAAAATCAATTGAGTTAATCCCAGAAACTGATTTTGTTTTCCTTTTAAGTTATATTTTCTAAGCAAATGTTGATCCTAGAGTTTTATGTTGATCCTAGACCTAGAGTCATATCCCAGAGTTTTATGATCATTTACTGAAACAATATCTTCATGCCTTTTTGATTCAAAATTATATGGAGGTTGACCAGCCAACCATTTTTTAGATCCATACAGTTACACAGATTTCTTTCTTCTTCATTCTTTCACCAATCACCATAAATATTCTAATATCGAATTATTTTGATTGGATAGGGTTAGTCTACAACTCTTATGTTGCCGACCTTCAATGAAAACCATCTGATAGAAACTTACCTCAACTTTCTGGCATGAACAGTACAAATTTGCAGTTAGCTTATAATGTCAGCTACATATTGTAGTTGACAGGTATTACATCATTTACATGCCCATGGTTATAAGTGATAAGTGGCAACTTTTCAAGTTTAGTGAAATATCTGCTTAGTAGCATCAGGAATATATTTATTACAAAGAGGAAAAAATTCTTTTAAAATAAGCTATCTCACAAAAGTTATCATTTCTCTTACATTTTTTATTTCAAGTGGGCAACTTAGAAATCATGGAAAGTCCAGTGGCATTAGAAATTGCCTCACTTCATTTAGATCTACACACAGAGAATAATAAATGTAAGAAGCGCTCAGTTTCAATTTTTTATAAAGTAAGATTGTAAGAACCATATATTTTTTAGTTTGGGAAAAGCTTTTATTAGCTGTAAATATGGTATACCTGTTGCAGGCTGTTGGTAACTTTGCCTGTGACTTAATTAAGTAGGTAGCCCAGTAGTTCCCAATCATTTTGTGATGGAATTGCATTTGAAAGTCCTATAGAGTGATCTAAAGCATAGTGGCAAAGCAGAGAGTTTTTTACACTCTTCCTCAAGTGAAGAGTGTAAAAAAAAGTTCAATTTTTAGTACTATAAGTAGGCCAGTAAAGTATCATGGATAATTGGACAGCTACCAGCTTTATCACACATAAGAAGTTGGTTTAAATATTGAGTAAATGAGGAAATCAAAAATGAACTGATGCTAAAAAATCTTTGGTTTGCCACTATGAATTCTATAGCCACATAGTTATACCTCGTTGATATTTAGAAATTATTTTCAATTGCCTGCCATTATTGTTGTGGACTTGTGGTGCAGGTTTGCACATTATTGCTACTAACTGTTTGATTAACCTTCCTTATTGTTTGCAGATTTCAAATTAGCAATATGGAACTTTTAGTTGCATACGAGTACCAGCAAGCATTAAGAAGAGAAAGAGTGTACAGGGACCCACTAGATTTAATACATATTTGTGATCAGGAACTTATCAGAAAATACCGGTTTCCACGCCACGAAGTCATTAATATGGTTCAGGAATTAGAACCACTGCTGCAGAGAAAAACGTCAAGATCCCATGCTATACCTGTCATCACACAAATTTTGGCTACCCTTCGCTTCTTGGCAAGTGGATCATTTCAAAATGTCGTTGGTGACACCAGTGGACTATCGCAACCAAGTATAAGCAATATTATCACGTCTGTGACAAATATCCTATCAGAAAAAGCTGTAAATGAAATCAAAATGCCTGCTGGTGTCATTCAACTCCAGCAGGGCATGAGGGATTTTCATACTTTGGCCGGATTTCCAAGTGTCATCGGAGCAATCGATTGTTCCCACATACCAATCAAAGCACCCATGGATGATGAAGCCATATTTGTTAACAGGAAAAAGTTTCATTCAATGAACATTCAAGTTGTTTGTGATGCAAAAAGAAGGATTCTCAATTTTAACGTCAGCTACCCTTACTAGTCGGTGTGTATAGAGGGTAGAGTGGTAGATTTATAGGACAGAAAAGTAGTAGATCTATTGATAGTAGGTACCTATCTGTTGTGTGACTCTTCAATGTTTGGAATGTCTCCATTCCTGAAGTGTTTTTGTATATTGAAGCCATTAAGTGGTCAATATTTAGCTCATTACCTTGCTCTATACAAATGAACAGACTCATCAATAATTGTTTACCCAAAAATCCCTAAGTGGTTAACACCCCCTTGGCCGTTGGCCATTTTTGAAGGCAATAAGTGCCCTTTTTAGCCATCCACTATGATCCAAATACTGTTTTTGTTAGTAGGCTAATTGCAACATAAAACTTCTCAAAAATACCAAAAAGCTGAAAAAATCAAATATATAAAAAATAATGAAAAAATAAAAAAAATCATTGATTTCTTTAAAAAATAAAAAAAATCACCAACCCTGTATCTACTTGACAGTTATTAACACTGCCTGGCATCATTGATTCTAAAATGTAAAAAAAATGCGAGGGGATTTTTGCATGTCTTCTTATGACAGATTTATAGATACATACTTATATATACTACTAGCTTTGAGCATTCAATAATATGTGCTCTTCCTATCCCCACAGGTGGAAACCTCCAATATTAGCCTTTAAAATGTGCCAAGATTATTGCTGCCTGCTTGTTACTTCACAACCGCTGCATTGTCAGGAACCTACCAAATCCTGATGATTATGAAGAGAGAGGAGACGACATGGAGCCTGAAGAAGAACGAGCTCATGATGAAGGACAAAGAGGTCTTGGCAGACAAATTCGCCAGATGCTTGTTCATAATTATTTTTGATACACGAATGAACAGTTCTTGTCGTGCAAACCTACTGGAATTTACCATTTCTTTGCTACGGAAGGTATATAGCTATTTTGCTTTTTATCTATACCATGAAGCTTATTATTGCCCTAATGCAGGTGTAAACACTTCTGTATATATAATGATTCATGCTGATAAAGTGAATAATTTTTAATTGTGATTTAAAAATTTTTATAGCTGTGAATTTTGGTAACTATTATACAAAAGACCTAATTCTGTTGCCTACCTTACATTAGGTATGAAAAATCTTCATTTCAACATGATGCAAGTTTATTGCAGAAGAACATTGTATCAATATTTTAGTATAATTATTGATCATTAAGGCAAGTCCTAACATAAGGTAGTGTGAGTTCTAACTTAGTAAAAAATAAATTTACTTATACCTATTTCACTTGTACTTCCTCTTTGGCACATTGTACTTCCTCTTTGGTTTTGTCGCAATTGATACCAGTGCAAACTTAATAGATAGCAAACGTTTTAATTCCAACATTGCAGTGAAAGTCCTCAAAAGAAAATCTTAGAAATATAAAGTAGTACAATTGAATTATTTCCTCTAATGCACAAAATGGTGCAATTGATACTAGTGCACGAAATTTACTTATAGCATATTCTTATAAATCAAAAAAGCCAGTGAGAGTATTCCATTTGCATAAAAAATTAGGATACCAAAAGTTATCAGGAAAAGAACAAAAATTTTCAATAATTAATCTTGCATGATGTTCAATTCATCAATCTGAGAGACATCGCTTTTCATTGGAATCCAACATGAAAGTTTTATTTTAATGTAAGCTAATAATCTTGCAGAAGTACTTTGTTACAAATCATGCTCTGACACAGAATTCTAGTATCTTGAAAAAATTATTTAAATACATATTTTGATATTAATAAATTACTGAAAATAATAATAATTATGACAAGTTATATATTCTATAGGTTTCCTGTAGGATCTACATAAGCATTTGCAATCTTTGTTGTATTTGCTGCAATAACTGAAAGCGCTGATGCCAATGTTTCAGTACTAGATGCAATACGTTGGGTATTACCCACTAAGGCATTAATAGAAGTCAATATGTCCCTTTGAACACTCAGCAATTCATTTGCCATGGCGTGATTAGGAGCATCACTTTGACGTTTTCTTTTTCGTGTGCGCGTTTTACCGGATTCATTTGTGGTCACACTTGCAGCTGGAGTTGAGCTACACATTGCGGTCTCTGGGACATTTGTGGCGTGCATGCCATGCATAGCGGTAACTGAGGGCATTTGTGGCGTCAATTGCGTAACTAGGTGGAAGGTAGCATGAGATGCATTACTTGTAGGGTTAATAACCCTATAAGGGGCTGTGGCATGAATGCCTGAGGGACCTGCAGCATGAAGATAGCAGTCTTCGTCAGCTGTTGTCGCAGTTCCAGCAGGTGAGGTTTGTAAGAAATCCAGGACCTCAAGGCACACTTCACCAGCCTCCTCAGGCTGCTCATCTTCTCCAACTGAAACAGAACACATTTTTAAATCTTTTTTAAAATTCCATTAAATATTATCAGAGTCCTTTTTACACTGTATAATTTATGTAAAAAAATATGTTTTTTAGTTCCAAATTGAAATGATACTCAATGAGCTCAGAATTGTTTCAGATTTTTCACACTGATTTAATTTAATGATTGAATAGAAGGAGGTCTTGTTTGAAAATTTTTAAATTTATTCATCAATAATTATGAATTAACTACAATCAATTTTTGTAAATTTAAAGGTTGTAATGAAATATGTTCAAACTGGGTAAAAAGTTACTCTTGTTATATTATTTCCAGTGGCAAGCTGCTATCATAAACCCAGGATTCAACTGAAGCCAGTGATGAGTAGAATAGGCGATACATGTAAAGGACTTGAAACCACAAATGTAAAATGAAATTCTAGACT